GTGGTCCAACAAGCTGCTCAATCTGGGGCTGCTTGCTCACAGTGTGTGGTACCCACTCTGGGAGTTGGGTGACGGCCAGAAGCCTGAATTATTGTCTCAGAATCAGATTCTCCTGAGTGAGAGTCCTTTTAGGGCGTCTGCAGGTGACTGCACGTTATACATGGGGAAATTCAGAGAGCTCTAACGGAACGATGGCCATGTGGGGGTGTGCAGGGCAGAGCCAGCCCATCCGCAGAGCCTCCTCACATACCTGCTTCCCTCTCTGCAGCCTCCGCATTCACAGATGGCTCTGGCTTAAATACTGATCATGCTCTTTTTCAGGGCCCTGACTTGGACCCCAAATTATGTTTCATATTTTTGCTCCTTCTCTTTTTAGACATCATCCTAGATGGTATACAAAGAAGAAGTTATGCTCTCTATGTGTTCTGACTAACACAAGTAACTTCCCACTTTGTAATTTTTACAGAACAATTCAAACCAAATCCAGAATTGGCACAGCATTCTTGAACCATAGATAGTTCAGGGTTAGGTATGGGCAGTTAAGGGGACTCCTAACAAGTGACAAAAGTTCCCCAAGCCCCTCGCTACTAAAGTGACAGTGGACTAAGGTAGAAAAGCTTTTAAATTCACAGTGCCCCAGCAGCATCTCAGGAGGTGGGACCCAGATATAAGCATATTTTAAAGCTCTTCAGGTGATTCAGTGTGCAACTAAGGTTACAAACCAATGTTTTAGAAAGACTTTCAAAAATGATTGTGACTCAGGGGTTTCTGATGAAGTCCTATTGGCAGTTTCAATTACACTGTGTTGAAATTCCTTTAACCAAAACAGAGGTTTTGTAATTGTAGGATGCCCCGGGGTTCTTAAGACAATAAGTTACAGTCACTGTCAGACATTCTTAAAATGGTCCTCAAGAAGTTAAAAATAGAATTACCATATGATCCAGCAATCCACTGCTGTGCATATGCCCAAAAGAATTCAAAGCAGGGACTCAAATGGACATTTGTACACCCATGTTCATACCAGCATGATTCACAAGAGTCAAAAAGTAGAAGAAACCCCACAAATCCATTGACAGATGAATGAATAAACAAAATGTGCTACATACATACTGTTAAATAAACAAGGAAGCCATTAGACTGAGGTACTTTGGCGACCTATGTAAGCAAACCAAAACCTAAACCTGTAAATGCTTCAAGGTTAAGACATTAAAACCAAANTGTGCATAAAATGGGTTAGGAAAGTTTAGAGGCAGGAAGTTTGTGAGAGAATGGGCTGTCATTTATTACTTTCCTACATCTTAATTTAAATGTTCCTTTTCTCTTGCTCTCTTCACTGAGATCACAGTTTAGCTTATATTCTGATAGTGTGCATGGTTCCTACCTTGCACAAAAGTGCCCAGATCCATTTACACATGCAGGAGAGCCTCAAATAATGAAAAAGTTCACAAAATACATGTCTATACAGTTTTGTCAACTGTTTGTTAACAGGCATTCTGCTCACCGTCTACCTTTTCCCTTTTCCCTTTACTTTTAAGCATAGAATTGGAAAGGGCCATAGAGGTGATCTGGTCAATCTCTTGCCCATAACAGGAATTGACTTGATGAGATCTTGAAAGACAGGCTGAAGTCTTGGCCTTAACAGTTCCTCTGTCCCTAATGAGATCTGTCCCATTGTTTGATATCATTGAATTCATAGAAAGACCTTCCTTACACAGAGTGAACCAAAGTTGACCTTCT